TCAGAAGAGATACTCATCACTCTTTCATAACCGGTTAACAAATTCAACCTGTATAGGTTGCTGGTAGATATTGCAAGCCAAAATGGTTGGGACTAACTTCTTGCAATCTCCTTTTCCTACAGCAGAAGAACAATTATAGGACAGGGCTGATGATATTCTATGTTTTTCAAGTCCAACTAATATCCTAAAACAGCTGAACACTGCAGTACGTTACTCTTACAGGAGTATATTGTGTACATTTGTTGTGGATTATATTTTCAGGTGTGGATTAATATATATTCAGTGCTCAAGTGAGTATTTATGGCACCGTGACTGTGTACGATATGTGTGATTGCCTCAAAAATAAATCCCATACCCAACGCCCGTAGTCGTCAAAATAAAGGAACATGTCATCCAGTGTAACAGCGTGGCACATTCATGGTTTTTGAAGTTCCTGGAGATCTAAACTATATTAGGCGTTGGCTACACAGACAATGCTTCTAAAAGCACAACCAACTCATTATTGGATTTGGGTTTGCAGTTTGGAAAAATATAGATTATCGTCAGACCCTTAGCAACTGTACCAAGCTAATTGAATTGACTGATGTACCTGGCACTCTCCATGTTGTCGTAGGCCAAGTACATGTACCAGTAGACTAGGTTGAAGAGGGCGAAGGCCAGGGGAAAGAGGATGCGGGAATACTTGTCGATGGGGCTGGTGCCGGCCAGCTGCGGGATTTGAGGAAAAGCGGAGCCCTGCTGGAGGAAAATCGGCAGTGGTGGGCCATCTTCTGCCTCACTGCGACACACTGAGTGGTTTCTCCTCTTCAAGCCATCCTGAGGGCTGCTGGCCGACTGGTAGGAGGGGGGTGAGGGGGATTTGGAGGAAAAACAGGAAGAGATGAGATAGAGTTAGTATGGGTTTTCGAATCAAAAGGGGTTGGTAGTGTAAAGAAAAGACAACCTAGGAATTTATACATATATGAGGCTGGAAGTTATGTTGGTTCCCACAGGAGCTTTCTCTCAATGGCATGCCAACATCCTTATAGATCACAGCAGGTAGTTTGCTGGATGCCCATAGGATGGTTAAGAGATTATGCAGGGAGGAGTGCTGGAGTTAGTCTCTGTTCTCACACTGAGGCTATTTTTAAAACATCTAACCATGAGCCCTGCACGTGAGACAGATCCCAGGAGGACGCTGTGGTGGCTTACTGTATTAGCATTCAGCATATAGCTCTAGATGAGTGCACTACAACAGCACGTATTACTATTTAATGTGTGGTGTGTCCTGAATTAGTAGAATGGAACAGGCAGGGTGACTACTTTGAAATGCACAGAAAAAAGACCTATCTGTGGCATTATTTCTTACTCTCTACATATGAGTCTGGAGCTGCTGGCTTCCTGTTCATAACGACCATCACTGCATCATCAACCTCTGCAACAGTGAGCCGACTCTGGACAGATTAGCTATGTAAATGCATTTGAGATGTCACGTGATATGATTCTTCCACTTTTCTACAGTTTTATATTGTTTTATATGTAACACATGAATTGAAAAGGCAAAGAGCAACAATTTTTTTGTATATGCAAACATAATCAATAAAAGTCTTTTACTTGTAATTCTGGTTCTACAAACATTGATTGGCACAGAAAGGTGCTGGGACATCTGTTGCACTCTATTTAGTGATCACCATGTTTTAATGATGACAGTAACATAAAGTTAGATTCTCACCGAAGTGTTGTCATCATCGCTGCCGGTAGCCAACACCTCGAGCTTGTCTTGTCTAGCTTTCTGCTTCTTCAGACGGTTGGCCTGGAGGGTGGCGAAGTAGTTTACTGCCGCAAACTCGACAAGAGCCGACGCCACAAAGGCAAAACACACAGCGATGAACCAATCCATGGCCGTGGCATAGGCTACTTTGGGAAGTGACTCACGGGCGCTGATGCTCAAGGTGGTCATGGTCAGCACTGTGGTGATGCCTGGAGGAAGACGAGCATTTATGAAACACACATGGAGAAGTATAACAATATCAAACATGACCAGTAAACATTGAGTGGTGGGAAGAGGGGCGTACCAGCGACTGTGCGTGCAGGAACAGACTCTTTGTTGATCCAAAAAGAGACTTGTGACAGCACAACCACCATTATAAGGGGGATGTAAGTCTGTATGAGGTAGTAGCCCAGCTTCCTCTGGAGGTGGAAATGGACCACCATCACCGAGTAGTGACCTGCGAGATCAAAAGCACGTGTGAAGAGAGCAACCCCGAGGGACAGGGCAGCGTAGCACACAACGGATGCCCTTGCCTGCCCTTGAAACAGAATAGCTGTTGAGAGAAACATAAAGATGTATTGCTGCTGTGAAGGCTGGAATAGCCTGCTAACTGTAAGACAGCATTTGAGAGACAAGAGGAAGAAAGAGAGGAAGGACCAGAAAGGAGGAGGGAGCACAGCAGACATTTATTTAGAAATGGGATAAAGTCAAGAGGAAGGAGCGAGTGAGGAGGGGCAAGGAGAAGAGCATGCAGTGTCACTGTGCGTAGCTGCCCTGCTCTATGTGAACACATGCATGCAGACGTTCACAGACCAAAAACACGCTGCACACACACGCACACATACAGAGATGTCCTCTCTCTCTCTCTTAGGTTTTCTAAATGGGTATCATTGCTACGTTTTTTGAGCCTGCCTCATCCTTTTCCTCTCTATTCCAGGAATCTGCTGGGTTCACAGCAGGGGAACACTTCTCCTACTTCTGGTGAAAAGAGAAAACGCACACACACACACACACACACACACACACACGCACAGACACACACACACACTACTCCATCCTTCCTCCTCTATCCCTGTCAGTGCATTCATTTGGCTTTCAATCCATAGTTCTTTTTAACGGCACACTGTAGCATTAGGCCGGACCACTTAAGCATCTTACACTAGATGACTGCTGAAGGAAGTCTTTGCTTTTATATCGGCTCTACTCTGGAAGAGTTTGAAGAAACTCATCTGACCTGCTCTCAGATTCATCAGCTCATGGAATAAAAAAAAAATTAAACATCTAAGTGTGGGTAGGACTGCAACAGTGTCCTAATGAAAGAGCAATGTGATAGCTGACAGTGAGCGTTACCTGTGTTTGATTTGAATATCTCACTGGACAAAGTCTGTCCCACCAGGTCATACTGCAGAAGACTCATGGACTCTTTGGGACAATCGACAGATGCTATTGGTCCCTTCCTCCAAGTGAAAATGATTTCACTGCTTGTGTAGGCATCTAAAAATGCAGAGGCAATTAGCAAAAAAATGTAAAACTCAAAGGTTTGACACATTCATGAATCTGGACATTATTATTCCATCTGTTAAACTTACAACTTCCAAACCTGAGAGGACAGGCGTGGCCGTCCATTGGGAAGTTCATGAGCCTCATTGGACATTCTGAGGTGATTGTCAGTCTAACAGCAAGAGAACACGTGGACACACGTTATCTTTTCCTATAAACCTAGTGTCCACAAAAGAACCCATCAACAAAACCATAGGTGTTCAAAGTAGGATCACCTCATGGTGTAGAAGACAGTCCCGTTCTGCATGATGCGGAAGAGTTTGTTCGGTGTGGTCATGTTATGAGAAATGGACTTCTTGGAGTTTCGGAAAAAAGAGTCTGGCGTCCAGATCTTGTCCACCATGCGATTGTTCAGCCGCAGGATTTCAGAGGGGCCTTCAAATTTTAGCCGCTCGTCAACCCACATCTGACGGAAGAACATGTCCATGGTGTACTCCTGATGCATAAACACAACATAACATATTAGTGAATGTGGTAACAAACCAAACTACCCGAAGCTTTAAATTTCAACCTTTGTCCCTGACATTCATCAGTACAGACATTTCAACTCGCAGTGGAAGGTGCGGAGAGATGACGAGGCAATGATGGATGCCACTCATCCCAGATAATCATTAATCAATCCGTTCAGCCATTCCCTCGGTCTGATGTGTTGTCATATTGATTTAGATGCCATCAATAATGGAGTTATAAGGCTGGTCAACAGATTAAAGCTCATTAGATGGTCTCATGGCAGATTGCCCATAAGGCAGGGATTCAGTGATCACTGAAGCGCTGTTATCTCCCTGAGTCAGCACATATACATCTCCTTACAACAGTAGTATCTTACCATCTCAACATCTGACACCGGTCCAAAGCTGGTGACAAAGATGTCTGTTTTCACCTCTGTAACACCACCTATAAAAGTAATAAACAACTGTACAATGCACACAATAACACAAGATGCACAATCTTCTTAGTTTATCAATGAATATGTACGTCTTTAGAAACAAGGCTTTAGGATATAAAGTCTGAATTACCTCCAGATCCAGGTCGCAATCTGTTGTCATAACCATCCAAAAGTCGATCCAAAATGAGAGTGATGTTGTCCGAGTAAATCTTCTCAATTCCACGCACACTACCAAGACTGCAGAGAAAAAAAAAGGTTAAACTTGCAGGCTCATTTTACTCTGACCTATGTTCAAGCAGAGAGGGAAGACTTACATTATCCAGCAGAAAAAAGTAACAAAAGTTAAAATCAGAATGGCCATCCTGGGCAGCATTGATCACCAAATATGCAGTCAACTCTCGGAGCAACTCATACTTAATAAAATGGTGTGTGAGGGGAGTAAAAAACAGAGCTAGAGTCCTCGCTGGTGTTGCGAAAGTGACTGGTTGGTATGCATAAGGACACCAGAGGCACTAAGTCAAGAACAGTAATCTAATTAACAGATTAGTAAATCCACTCCATTTTTAGACAAACTTTAAAAGTCTCCAAAGTAAATTAATTAAAACAAAAATAAAGAGAGATTGAAGTAAATGCAACTCCTATAATGTCAACAAAGCACTGACAAAAGTCTGACATGTATTTGATAAAATTAGTTTTTCTTGTTGTAGTTCCTGTTATCACACAGCAGATGGCGCTGCAGCCACAATGTTTTTCGCAACCGGAACTGAAATGCTTACTCAGAGAAGAAGAAGAAGAAGAAGTGTCGATAGAGTGAGGGGGCAATCATACTACAGGGGCAATACTGACATTTAACTTGATATGTTTATAACAACAATTATACAAAGCAAAGCAAAGAGTGGTGACGATCAACCGCGTAGCAAACTGTTAGCATAACTTCTCTGTTAGCCAGTTAGCTGACGTTAGCCGACCTGTCAGAGCCGCAGCATGTCGGTGCACTTCGAGGAGAGGAGCGGGGTGGTCCCCTGCCAGACCCCCTGGGGCTCCTGGTACCAGACCATGGAGGAGGTTTTCATCGAGGTCAATGTGCCTAATGGGACGTCCGGTAAGGAGGTCAAGTGTCATCTGGGATCCAGACACATCGAACTGCATGTCAAAGGGAAAGAACTCTTCAAGGTAACATTAGACTCCCGATCAACATAATTTCAACTCAGAGAAAGAGTGCGTTTTCAGTTTTTGAGATCTGTTAAATTGTGTACTGAATGTGTGAGTATACTTTGTTGTTGATTTGAGCCTGGTACCCAGCTCTCTAAGGGAAAAGGAAGCAACATCAAATTTACAAATGACACAAAAACAAATGAGACAAACTACAAAAGTCTGTGGGTGCTGCTGAAATCTAATAAAATGCAGATCACAAAAAGAAGACTCATAAACCAGAGCTTTCACAAATACAGACTGACTAAAGAGAATTAATAGAAACAAAGTCTCTATCTGACTTAACCTGTCCAAAAACCAAACATTGTACACAGCACCGCTGCTCCTAGTGTATTCATACAACGGGAGTATCCACATGTGTACTTTCATTATGTAGGATGAACTGTATAGGCTGGGTCACAGAAGGGAAGTACACGGTTCCATTGCAATTACAATAGGAGGGTCAGTAAAAGCATATATATATATATATATATATATATATATATATATTTATATATATTTATTTGTTGATCATATTGTGTTTTTAATTTCAAAGATTAACAATGTGGAGACAACACCCTATTACTTTAAAACAAAACCATCCTTCATTGGAGAGAAAAAGAGGAAGTTGTACCTGAGTTCAGCTCATGTTGCTAAATCGTATTTTGTGACCAGTACTGAAATCATACGCTCGTGACTAGTTTGACTACAAGGTGAACGCACGTATTGACTTCACAAACTCTTCTTTTTACATTCTGTCAGGGAAAGCTGTTTGACACAACCATGTCTGACGAGGCTACGTGGACACTCGGTAGGTGGCGTCCCCTCTAAGTGACACGCTCATTAACTTTGACTTGAATGTGTTTTAATAAGTCACCCTTATCTCTTATTCTTTTTTCTTCTTAGAGGACAAGTGTCTGATCCGGATCATTCTGATGAAGACCAACAGAGAGGCAGGGAACTGCTGGTCCTCGCTGCTGGAGGGGGAGTACTGTGCGAATGCCTGGGTCCAGGACCAGATGCAGAGGAAGCTCACACTGGAGAGGTTCCAGCGGGAGGTTAGTTTAATTAAGGGCCACCTGAAGGGTCGTGGTGTGTGTTGCCAAGACATTATCAGATGCACACCTGTCTGCCTCTGCACATGGCCACAGGAGGGTAACTTATGTAGCCAGGTAGATGCCTCTATTTAATAAGCCACCTCAAATAAAGGGTTATAAGTAGTGCTAATGGTTTATAAATGAACGCTTTATGATCAGCTTTTGTTTCCAGGTTGGGAAAATCTCGTTGGCTGGTTTGTTTGGTAATAATGTAGTTAAAAATGTTACTACGCCATTTATAAATGCTCATAAATTTATAATAAAACAGTCTGTGTTAATATGATGCTAATGGATTTTTTTAATCCAATTGTCTTCAGCTCTTTTCTAGAAATAAGTGTTCAAACAGTCTAACCAGTCAGAGGAAGATTTCACAAATTGGCAACCAAAAAGTTGTTTATAATATTGACTTAACTATTCTATGAAGCATCAGAAAAGGATCTACTGGCAGTTAATGAATCCATTATTTACATTTGATGAACGCCTGATCGTGTGCTTCATTAGAAGGTGGTACCGCCAGGTAGAAGCTTGATTACGTCAAAAGTAAAAAACAAGAGGAAAAAAAGGAAAGCATTAGCAGATGTGTTTTTTGTCCTTTTAAACTTGAACAGTGCTTTCAAGGTGGTGAGAGGAAACATGAATGCATCCTCAGAGCATCACAGATATCAAATTGTGTGGATTTGTAAAATGAATGAAAGTGTTTTTTTGCATTGAAAGGAGGCAACATGGCTCCTGCTCATGAAATGATTGCACTACTCTTTGCTAGAATCCTGGATTTGACTTCAGCGGTGCAGAAATATCTGGGAACTTTGCTGGTGGTGGTCCGGACTTCTCCAGTTTACAGAAGTGACCGGTGTCATGGTGCCAAAGACCTGCAGCGTGCTGGAGATGTCACCTCTGTCTAATGAACACTGCTGAGGACTTCCATTGCATGAAGACGAACAGAGGAAGGATCAGAGCTCCTATGATGAACAGTCAAAAGGCTTGGCCTTCAGAACTCAAATACTGGACGTCTACTAGACGGAACTATTCGACAAATATATATTTTTCACAGCAGCCCTTTTATCCGGCTTGTTTGAGTCCGATTTGGCAAGTTGCCACGCTAATTATACAGGCAGAGCAACGGTTGATGGAAACTGTTGTATTTGGTTGTAAGAAGCCTGTGTGATGTGTTGTCTTTAAATAATGAGGAGAATGCACAAGCAATAGCTTTTCAATAAAGTTTTATTGAAAGGTACAATACATAGGTTAACGAGATGGTGTATTCAATTTGCCATTTTAAGTTTGGAAACTTTTTTTTTTGTCACTCAAAGAAACTTCTGCTGGACAGGGAATCTGACAAAGAAAATGCAATACAAATTGCAATCCACATTTCCACTGCAACAAGCAATTTTTTTCTGTTTTTGCTGTATAATTGACAACTGAAATCAATAATACATGCAGTACTTAACTGTGTAAACAAATTCGAAATTTGTGAAAACAACTCATCTGTAACCACCGGCTCAAACAGTATGGTCAGCCATACGCGACTTGATCGTCAACGGCCTCACGTCACTGGAGAAGACCAGAACTCCCTCTCCGTATCAAAATAAAAACAAAAAATCATCACCTTGGGTAGGAGTGTGCAAACAGGACAGTTCAGCAACCTAGGGTGGGAGTTAAGGATTTTGGGCCCGATTTCTTGGTTCCATTTTTGCTATTCACAAAATCCTTCTCCCTCCTCTTCCACATAGTGGACTGAGGACCTAGGTGGTTACATACTTATTAGCTTAAAACCAGCAACCCGTTCCAGGAAATACCAAACACCGTGGAACGGATTTTATCAAGATCATACTGTACACTTGTGCAAGCCACTCGACCAGGAAAGTAGAACTTAGCAGGATGGCGGTAGATAAACCGTTCTGACGAAGCATTACTCGTCATTGGGGCAGATAAAAGACTAGTTGAGTAAATCAGTAAGATTTCTTTTGAGCTTTTCCTTAAAGACATCCATCATCACCGATGAAGGTCTGCAAGGAAAATAACTGGAGCTGTACAAGGGTGACCACACTGCAAGAAATCAACCCGAAAGTTGCATCCAATTTAGGGACAGTTGCAATTTTCCCCCTGCATGTAAGGTCACCCGTCCGTACCTCCAGGGATTAACAGGCTGACTCGGGTATGGTGGGAAGATGAGTGATCTTGTAGTAGCTGTGCTTCAGCTGACGTGCAGTTCTTCCCGAAATAGTCCAGCGAAGCCTCTGGCTGTTGGGCCTGGAGCACCTGGTGGTAGCATATTCAGCCAGGCACTTTCCAACCAACTCCCGCACGCAAACCAGGTCCCCGTCTCTGATCTGCACAGAAGACACAACAGGTGGGGCAAAAAAAAGAAATCGTTATTAGTGTCCTAATTTCCACTAATCCTAACATTAGGCAATCTTTGTGGTTCTAACCAGACGAAGCCACACAAACGGATAGAAACAGTTGGTACTTACATGCAGCTGCTGCTGCTGCAGAGCTTTCAGGGCCTCTGCTATGTTGTCAGTGTACTCGGGGTCGTGTTCTTCCTGGGCCTCGTAACACAGGAGCGCCATCGCGAGCAGAGACGGCTGCAGAGAAACAGATCATAGGTTCGTCATCGCAATAAAACTTTAAACACAGTAAATATATCTTTCTAAGAAAACTGGCAGAGAAAACATGACATTTTAATAATGAATGTGCTCAAAACAGATGGACTACTTTATACTAAACTACCACTACAAACATGAAAGCTTTTTGACTTTTAAGTCACATGGTTAGCAAAGTGGAACGGCCGCATGCCACTTAGACATTACGAAATAGTGTAATACAATACAAACCACCTTTAAAATGTTGACAGGTTTTGGCCTACCTTTATTTTGGAGAAGACAAATGAGCAGTGACAGGCTTTCAGTTGGGCCTCCAGTCTCTCGAGGCTCAGTATCTTCCTGCTGTGAAACAGAAAATGCTTTTAGTGTCAACTTAAGAGCGCTCACTAGACAAGACATCAAGAACAACGTAATATCACTGATCATGTTTTGAACAGATTTGTTTTCTAACACTGTCCGTTCCACGAGTCTATAAACCTACATGACTCCATGTTGGACCGTGACTGTTGCCGTGAAAGCATTTTGCCTATTATTCTCTTTAAAGCCAAATATGAGAAGACACATTTTAGTGGAGTAAATATAAATCGTTGTGAGTCATGGTTCAGCCCTGCAGGTTGATGTGACCGTCTGTCCTTACCTCTCAGCGTCCAGCTGCTTCTGGATGTGGCTGTGAAAGAGCCGGAGGAAGCGGAGGGCTGTGGGGGCCTTCACCTTCCAGTTAAGCTTCTCCATGATGATCTTCTCCATCCTCATCATGTCAGACACCGTGAAGCGATTCTGACTGATGCGGATCAGTTCGTTGGCCAGAGGCACGTTCTTCTCCTCTTCTGCAGACTTCACGGCAATGTAGAAGCAGCACAGGCCCACGCAGGACAGGTGCTTTGGTTGAATCTGGGGAGGACAGGGAAAGGAATTTAGAATTTAAAGCAACCGTTTGCCATTTCTTGGCGGCCAGCAAAATGTGCTTTTCAGGTATTAATGTATTTCAAACCTTCATCACGGAGAGGAATCGATCCAACAAGCTGATGGCCAGTGAGAAGGTCTCCGAGCTGAAACCAAAGAACCTGGTCAGAGAGTGCAGGTCCTTCACCTCCAGCTCCCTCAGCCTGGCGGTCATCCGGAGACCATTGTCCTGGGAGATCTCGATGAGCCTCAAGCCGCTCAGCTTCGGTTGGTATCGGCCCTCCAGATCCGTCAGGGCCTTCAGCTGAACGGGAAAGGGCTGTGCTCCGGGTTCTGTCACTGTGTCGATCATCTGCGCAGACAGGGAGGTAGAGCTGAATAATTCTGACTAAAGCCAACTAAAACACAATATTATTGACTCCAAGTCTCAGTACTGATGATGTGACAAGATCGTGTGCATGTCTGTTGAAATATGCGATACTTTGAAACCATAGTTATGGCTATATCTACATTAGAGTGGAAACGATCAGCTGATTAATTGCCTATTAGCCACATTATATACACAAATATATAGTGTGTCTAATACACATGGATGCTTTAATAAGACATTGTGTTTGGCAATACGGTCTCTGATATAAAATAATAATACTGTGGATATGATGACCAAGCAGGTAGACATAAATGGTTTCACTCTGCTATAACATTCAAATAAGTAACTAATTTGCATCTGTGAACTAAGAACAGACGATATCTAGCCTTTTCTGATAACATCTCCTACGCAAAATGTCAACTGTCCAATGTAATTTATACCACAGCCCAAATGTGGGAACGAACATATCAAACTATACATTAAACCGAATGGTTGGTCATTTTAGAACAGCCTTACTTCAATGAGAAACAGTTAAACGCACCTATGTATACAACTAATGTAGTTTACCAACAACAGATCTGGATTAGGGATATGTATTGCGTAAGAGCCCTGGGAGTGTTTCCAAATTTTTAAGTTATCCAGTAACAAGCAGCTGTCATTGAACTGGACTCAACTGGAATAGGCAAAGGGTGTAACTTCAAACATGGATAACCTTACATACTACACACCAGGGACATGTCAAACTAAGTTTATCACAACTTATTTTTATTTTATTTTTATATATATATATATATATATATTACCAAGGTTAATACAACTTTCTTATTAGAATCACTCCTCTATGAAACATGTTTGATGGACCAGGCCATGCTCGTCACAGGGTCATGTCTCGACATGTCCTCCCGTACACACTAATGGAGAGCTAACGAAGAGCCCGATGACAACAGACACAAGTGAGGGAACATCGTTTAAACCGTAAAACTGTGGTTTAAACTACGAGACATATCACTGTGGGTGATAAATTAATCTAACCCTGTGCTTCATGCCAGTGAAGGGGACTTGACAAACTAGTCTGACGTTAAGAACGTGACGCTAACCGTTAGCTAACGCTACAACCGCTAATGCTAACATCACTTTCTAACGGTCGTATCTTTAGTTTATCGTCTTCTCAGCTATGAACAGACACAGAATGACGTCTTTTACAGTCTAGTAAACCCTATCCCACTTTAAACATATACATATATACGGTTAGTAGACGTGATATAGAAGGACGGTTGGTTCACTTACCTTGGGTGAAGTTACGTTGCTTTTAATATAATTTAAAAAAGGGGAAAAAAAAGGTCTCACGCACTTTTAAAAGGTGAGTGAAAATATATTTAAAACACAAAAAAGTGTGTGTATCAACTTTCACTAAAGAAAGTTTTAAGCGTAGGTTAATTTCTGCCTATGCACACCCCCTACCCTTGGAGTTAAGGCGATGGGGAAAAGGGCAGCCTGGTTATCGAGGCAGTGCTTTAGCCAGACCCACGAGCTAACACGGGGAGCATTCATTGGTCAGCGACAGACGACATTCCTGCTTCTACATTTCAATTGGTTATATTTCCAGCCTCACACAGTTAAGTCCCGCCCTGTAAATACTGGTGGCCAATCGCAGAAAGGGAGGCGGGACATGACCAAAATTTGTCTGATGATGTACATACAACATTACAGGAGAAGGGAATAACAGAAAGGAGCAAAATTGTTGGTGAATATTTTAGAAAAATGTGCAGGATTTCTTAAAATTTCATATGTTGTTGTTTGTTATAAACCAGGCATTGTCACACCATTCTGCCTCTTCTGTTTTCAAAAAAGGCGTTTACTGGCAGGTTTCTGGAACAGTCTGGAGGGACCATGAACCTGCTGAGACTAGCCTTACTGTCCACAACCCGTGGACCCATTTTCTGTCTTACAGTACAATTATGGAGAGAACGAGGCACGTTTTCAAAAGTATTTATTACATCAGGATATACAAATCTGCAAGTGCTCCCACACAGACCCACCATATAGATATACTGACATGAAGAGATTTAATCCTGAATTTATATACATCCAGGCTGAATGAAATACTTCTAAGTAGATATTTTTGACACAACCTATGGGTTGACATGTTTGCATGATAAGACACCTTTTGAAATTATTAAATATAAGGAAATATTTGTATCATGACTGATTTAAAGTGCTTATAAATCATAATATAATGTATAATCCGTACAACATTTAACAGCAATATCATGTCACTTTGTAATATATATGTCACAGTGTAAATCGTCATCAGTCGAAAACTACAAGCATAACATGGCGGATAAATGAAGTTTGCACATTTAGTACAAAAACTGAGGTTTTGGCAATGATCTTTCAATATTTTTAGGAATGAAGGTTAGGAGCCATGCAGAGACCATGCTACACTTAAAGGAGAGGTTAGTAGACATGGAAGACTTCAGGCTGAATAACTTCCAGGGATGTTAAGTGCATTTCTATAAAATTGTTATTTCACATTGTAAAAATAATACACTTGATTGCTAATCTGTGATCTTTTGATGTTGTAGAAAGTCTTCTAATTCAAATTCCTTCCTGAGGTTAAGGAGCACGCAGATGGAAGACTAAAGAAGCTATGAAAAGGAAAGAAAAACCATGTTATTCATCCAGACAAAGTCATTAGACAAACCTCGACAAGATGAGAAATATTGAAGTTTAGTACAAATGGTAATTAGGTTTCGTGAGCAGTTTGTTATTTGTCCCGTTTGCTTCCACTGAGGGAAGGCAAAATCACAACTGAAACTTGAATTAAATGGATAATGCTTTTACAGAAACACAAAATCAGAAAACCATGTTTCGGTGATAAGTGAAATATGAAATGCTTTGTATCATACAAATGACTGACGTGACGGGAAGTCACAGAGAATTGAGAGAGTTTAAGAGGAAAGGTTCAGCTGACAAAACACATGAACTGATGCCGTGTTTGGTTTTCCATTGACATTATTTATTTGAATATAAATAATGGCAACATATTTGCTCATTTTCAGACTCACTGTAAATTAATTCCATTATTTTCTTTCTAACTTTGCATAGAGTGGGGTTCGACAATTCAATTATCTTCTACTATCTCAAACTACCAACAATTAAAAAGAACAAGTATCAATGATCATATGTACATTATTAGAAATGCAGTGCTAAAAACCCTACACATTCATGGCAAGAACATAAAACAACACAAGCTACATGTTATGAAAACACTCCATGGATTGTGTGTCTAGCAGAGTCAGCATTAGGGACACATTAAACACACTGAGCAAAGCTACATTATTGATCCATGAATATACAGTGGCTTATAGCCATCACATATTTCAGGCTGACATACGAGTCAGTCAGTAATGTCAGATATGACATTACTGACTGACTCTCTCACTCTCTCTCTCTTCCAATGCGGATGGCAGACACATTCCAGGTTCCCTGGATGTTTGATCCATAAATCAACTGAAAAGGGAAAAGAAATGAGACAGAATATGGGAAAAAGAAGAAATGAAGGATTTGAGGAATAATGAATGAATGAAAAGAATAAATGAATGAAATGGGTATGCAACGGTATTGTGGTTGGAACTTCTTTCAACATCCATAGACCATCATTTTAGGCTATGTTAAAAGTCCAGTCCAGTTTTTTTTAACAATCTGATTTAAATCAGATTGTTAAAAAAAAAAAAAAAAAAAACTTGTGGAAAGCAATTTCTACAAATGGGATTAAGGCCACATGAATAGGTGAAATCAGAAACTGAATTTGTAGAAATGTTTCTCAATCTGACCACTCAAATCAAGAGTTTAAACTCTCTTTAAGGTCATATCCAACAAAACACATGACGCTGACTCCAGAGCACAGCTAACCAACCATGAGTTCACCACCAACAATGGTTGCATATACAAATCAATGTTTTCCTGTCACTGAAGCTGTCTGGTGAGACAGACAGGAGAACATCAGCTCACTGTTTTGTTTGCATCCTGTAAAAACACACCACCCTTCAACCAAAGCAGATATCTGTAGATAATCTGTGCATGTACGTTTTGAGCGTATATTATTGATCCCGCCATTTAATGTTGCCACCTGCAGAAATGACTACGGCTCTATGTGGGATGTCTAAGTGTCATCAGTGTTGCGCATGGTGTGAGCATCGGTGAGACCGGTGGAATGAAAACAGAAGTGCCCCTGCCTGAGATACAGTCTGGCAGGTCAGCCTGCAGAGACATAAGCATCAGGCTGTGTCATGCAAGCTGTGGCCCTCTCCGCTATGTCTGGGCACGCGGTGTCAGTCTGAATCTGTCCACGTATCAGTTTCTGAGCCAACATGGCTTCTGGGAAAATAACAGTATCTCATTAATCACATTGTACACCTTCCCCCCTCTGTCCGATCAACTCCAGACTGGCTTAGAGAAGACACGTCCAAGGCTTGTGAATATAATATATGTGTGATATTTTAATAAATTAATCATTATTTGTCTGAGCGGTTTTTAGTGTTACTATTTAGCGGGTTTTACCGCATGGTCTGACAACAACGGTGTATGAAAGGAACCACTTGAGCAGCACAACAAATCAAATACACACAGAAGCTTTGACTTACTTCTTCTTGTCTTTGTCCTTCTTGAATGGTTGTGAGCAGCCTTGGAGAGCCTGTCCCATCAGCGTCTCAGCTGCAACCTTTCTTCTGTTGAAGGCGTTCATTTCCTCCTCCAGTTCTTGTCTTTTCTCCTCCAGATTCTTCCTTTCTTCCTGGTGCATCCGCTTGAGCTGCTCAAACCTCTCATGAAGCTAGAGATGATGATGATGATGATGATGGTGAAAAGACAGGAAACAATGTGAGACAGACCAAATATGGCGTGTTTTGAATGAGTAGTTATTTTACGATCATGTCAATCCTCACCTCTTTCTCCTTTTCTTTCAGCTCAGCTTCTGTCTCCTTCACTTTGTTGACAAACATCTGTCTCATTTCTTCCTCTTTGTGCTGCAGATCCACGAGGAACTCCTTCCTCTTGGCTTCGTATGTGTCCTGAAGGCTGAAAATCAGAGTAAAAGCAATGTTAAGATCAGTCCAATACCTTATTGGACATGAGTCATAACTGGAGCAATGAAACTAGCATGTTAAACATGACCCATTTAGATTGAAGAGAACAAGAGATGATATGGTCAACATCTGACCTGACACTTGATCAAAATGCTGTTTAATACGGATGTGAACTGGGAACATTTTAAATTACAGTGTCACAAAACAATGTACTTCAAATTACAAAACATTAGACATAAAACATTAGAGTAAATGACCAAATAAGGTCATAATGTTGCATAGATGACATTTTCCACTCACTCTAAAATACATGAATACTATTAACTCTAAATCACATTTCTGCATGTATGTATATGTATATTTGGTGATGACTTCCTGTTTACAAAGTTGATGGGTTTTGACTGTTCAGCACTACAGATGTTCCCTCGTTAACATATTACTTAAGTCTTCACTGGCTATGACATTCCTTAAGTTTAAATGATGCAACCTGATTTAGTGAATAACTAGTCAGTAATTAAGCTAGTAGTTGAAAGGGACTGTACAAACAAAAAGGTGTATAAATAGCTGGTTCAACCTAACCCTGAACTCCATCTGAGGTAAAGCAACTGACATATCATGTGACATTTCATGAACACAGGAACTGGAGTTACTCTAGTTTCTCGCCTATATTAGGAAAATGAGAGTGGCTAATCTCTGAATGAATTCATGAAGGCACTTAAAAAGGTTCAGATGAGTCAAAAATAGAACCAAATACAATCAATGATTTATACTGATAGTTAAATAATTAAACTAGAGTCTAAATTGACACATAAAGCTTTTCCTTTAAGCTCTAATTGGTTGATGAAAAGGGAAAAATCTCATCCTATTCCAAATCAAATAAACAGATTTTAATATGGTGTTCATTAACCAAGTCATTCATCAGCACATTTTTTACATCATAAGAAAACAGTTGTGTTTTTGCAGTCTCACTGAGGTAAGTTGTCCGGATGCATTACATCACTGCTCCCCCTAATTTCACCTGAACGACTGGCTGTCCGGGTCTGTGTCCTTGAAGCCCATCTCTTCTAGCTTGCAGCGACGGTAGAGCTCGTAGTGTCGAGCGTGTGTTTGCTCCCGGAGATCCTCCATGTTCACACGCAGCAGCATCTCCCTCAGCTTCACAAAATCACAGTGGTTTTCATTCTCCACTGGAAAAAAGAAAAGAAGCTTGGTCATTTTGCACTGACTGAAAATCTGAAATGAAAACCCGTGCTCATAAAAACTGAGAATCATGATATCATGTTTATATCTTTTTGGGGCTTTATGATGCTTGTAAAATCACTTCAGCCAACTCACCCTGTACTGATCCCCAGGGGTACAGCCTTGCTTTCACCATCTTGTTTCCCACTTTAACGTCTTCTAAACTCCCAACCACAGCAAAGGGAAGATGAGTCTGTAATGTATAGTAGTGAAATTGTTACAATATGTTTAAAATGATACTACTGTTGTTATGTCCGGGATCTCATTCTGCTATGAAGATATGCTTCTGAATATATGTCGACTATGGATTCAAATTGTGGTTTTCATTGTTACAATACCAAAAGATGGGTGTATCTTAAGTATTGTATTAAGTCTTTGTCTTTCTAGGACTCACATTCATGGAGTTGTTTAGCTCTGCAACAGCTTCATCCTCCGTGGGGAACTGATAAATCTGTACTCCATTACTGACCAGCTCACTCATAATCTTGATCTTCAATTTGTCCAGTTCGCTCTTGGAAACCGTGTCTGCCTTTGCAATAACTGGGATGATGTTCACCTGCATGGAAAATCATAATATGAGGGACGGACTGAGGAGCAAGTTGACTGCTGAAAATACACAGTGAAAGATTCTGTATTCACCTTGCTGTCTAGTTTCTTCATTGTGACGAGATCAAGAGACTTCAGGGAGTGTCCGGTGGGAGCGATGAAATACAGGCAGATGTGGATTCTTGTGTCATGGCAGTTAAATAAGGAACGTTTTATTTTTAGCTCCTCCTCAAGATACCTTTCAAACTGGGTATCAATATACTCAAGAATGGGTTTATAGCTGCACAGAGAGAAACAACACAAGACATAAAACATGAGCATCATTATTTTATCCTTACATGCATGAACAATAAACTGTACATTGCTTTCATGTAGTTTGAGGACATGTTAGTATTCTGGCTACAAACTCTGCAACTACAGCCTCGCAGCCAAGAATGTCTGGTTTTTCTACTCCCTGCTGTTGGAGCACTCAAATGTCTATTGAGATTGCATTAGTTCTACCACTCATTCCCATATTTCCTTTCTTCCCACCACATTTGCATGCCAGAAACTGGCCAGATCTCTTCCTCAAGTCCATACTGTGTAAGTGTGTTGGCTGCAGGACCAGAGCAAGGGTGGAAAAGATGAATAGCTGGTGCTGAACTAACCAAGAAAAATGTCGACGAAGTTTTAAAGATCAGTATTAAAACAGCACTAAAAATGCATGTAAAAGGTTTTCTATAACATTTTAACAACATTGTATATTTTCCTTCCATCGTGCAGGACAGTTTTATATATTTTTTAAATATTTTTTAAATATTTTCTCTCTCTGGGAAGCATTCAGTCAAACTGAAAGTCAAATAAACATCTCCAAGAATCTGTACCTTTGTTCTTTGTTGATCTGGTCTCCAAACCCGACAGTGTGCACAGTGGTCAGCTTGAGGTTGACGTTGCTCTCCTGCAGATCATAGGTTTGTGGGCGTAGCTGTACCTCAGTCTGATAGTGGCTGGCTTCCTCATTTTCAAATGTGGTATTGAAAAGAGTGTTCATTAATGTCGACTTGCCTATCCCTGTCTCACCTTTAATAAAGAAAAAATGACACATGGTGAACAGAGATGACCATTTAAATTCCCCAAAAATGCGTGACGTTCATAGCACTAACTTTGCTCCTGGGGTCAGACGTACCTACGCAGAGGATGTTGAAGCAGAATCCCTGTGCGACTGATTTACTGACCAACTGATCTGGAAGACTGTCAAACCCCACATGACCTCCGAGCTCCAGGTTTCGCTTTTCTTTGTGCTGAGGAATTCGAAAAAACAGGAAGAACAACGAGGTTAAAGAGCCCCTTCTGTCAGATCCCATCTCCGCATTCTGCCTTCAAGCTCAAGAGCATTCTTTGCAAATGAGGTCATCTCATCTTTCCACTTAACACACTGAAAAGTCCAACCTATAAAAAGGTTCTGTCTCAATATCACAAACCAAATTCCTCCTTTAGAGACACGCTAATCTGAAGAGAAAACAAAAAGCTGTGAGAATCACATGAGTTGTGCAGCACAGATGTCATTCTTTACACTGTGTGTCCTGTGTCTATTTATGAAGCTTAGCCATGAGTTCAAAGCTGCTGACAGTAACCGTTTGTGATTATTGTCAGGGCTGAAACTTATTTATTACAAATATTTGCATCATTGATTAGTCTGTTGATTAACAGATGAGATATAATCGATAGATCGTAAAAGAATAGCCAAAAAAACTCTTTCAGAGCCCAGTTACCTCTTCAGATTGCTTGTTTTGCTTAACCAACTGTACAAAACCTAGATATTTAATTCATAATGATTAAAAACAGGAAAAACAAACATTTTGAGAAAACCAAAACATTGTCTTTTGCTCTATAAATGATCTAAATGGTTAATTGATGGTCAAAATAGTTGCTGATTATTTTTCTGTTGATCGACTAATGGATAACAGTTGACAGCACTGCGTTTACTTGTGTTTGAAGACTTGATTCAAGCTAATAAAAACATGACTCACTGCACATATCTTCCAACCATCATACTGTGTATACTTTCCGTTTGAATCTGAACATAATAATACATACTATATAGAATGTATATTTTGCCCTGACTATACACTGAGAGGTATTTTATCCCTCCAATACCAGACACATCCTGATTTACTGGCATCATGCAAAAGGCTCAACATGAGGATCAGGATGTGTTCAATACAACACTCATCCGTTTCTGTCCCTCTCTCTCTCTTCACACACACACACACACACACACACACACACACA